CAGCATGCTTGATGCTTGATGTTGACCTGTTTGAAGTCATGTTTATCAGATCTCTTCCCTACACAGTCACTACCCCTAGTTCCCATGCGGTCCTCTGGAAGGACGTCAAGGTTATACTTCCCCGTGAAGAGTAGAAATAATGCCCCTCCTGTTGGGAGTAGAGTCTGTATAATATATTTGAATACTGCCCAGCAGTGATCTGTCTCTCCTCAATTTCTTCACTCAATGATGTACATTAGTATGAACTCATAAGGATTTGCTTTATGCTTTGAGTTATAACTAATACTGTAATTTTGTCCAGCTCACTGAGCTTCAGTCACTCCTGGTGACACCAGGAGTGTTTTACTGCTGCGTCCCCGGCCCACTTTACGTACCTATCGATGTTTTTGCTTGTTTGTATTTAGTGGTTTCCTGTTTTCAAAATGCTAGACGCTCCAGCCTCACCTGAAACATGTCCTTGTCCAGGTCTAGACACTTCTGATTTCTCCTTCATCAAAACTGCCGTCTGATTTTAGTTTTATTAGTCATCTCAAGTGCTATATGTGCTTTCTTCCCTTTTGTTCATTATTCTATCATAGTCACACTTCACTTACTTTTGCATAATTTGGTTTTGTTTGGCTTTGGTTTGTTTTCACTAACCGCTGGAATTGAACATAAAGATGAATGGATTATTAGAAATATGGATATTTAATTTCAAATAAATATGGTCAGGTTCAGAGTTTTTGTTGTGACTTTCCATTTTAGTCCTTTGTAGTCATGTACTCAACACATTGATTCTATGAAATTTTAATTTGTCTCTTGTAGATAGTCTATGAGTTTTCACAATTGTTTTATATTCATTGAAAAGCATTTTCCAATTGCTATGGGATTGTTACAGGCTATATAATCAAAGTTGTTAAGTCTGGTTGTTCAAATTCATAGCATTATTAATTTACTTTGTTGTTGTTGGAGCAGGGTCTGGCTGTGTACCCCAGGCTGGCCTTGAACTGGAGATTTTCCAGCTTCATCCTCCCGCCTGCTGGGATTACAGCCGCGAATCACCATGCTCAGCACATTCCTTTCTTCTCCAATCCCTGTGTTAAGTTTCAGAGGAAAATGTGTTGGGGAAAAAAACCCAACATTCTCAGCATGATTGCAGATTTTCAGTTTTAAAGGTAATTCTAAGTCATGGTTATTTATGTCTCAGTGCTGTGGTTAGTTGCACAAATTTCATTACTGTCTATGTTCCTGAGTTTTTCTGTCTGGCCACTGTAGAACCCTTTGATCCTATCAATACATGTTTGTTTTTTGAGTGAGATCTCGCTATGTAGCCCAGACTGGCCTCAGACTTGTGATCCTCCTTGTCCTAGCCTCTCAGTGCTGGGATGGCAGGCATGAGCCATCATACCCAGCTCTAGAACATTTGACATTAAAATCCTACCCCAGTTGTTTTTTTCTCATAATACTTGTCTGAACTGCTTTTTCTATCACTTGATTTTTAGCTTCCTACTTTAACATCGATTAAGTGTTTTTATAAAGGGTGGGCATGGGTTAAGCAGGATGCTAGCCCAGGAACCTTGCCCTGTGACTACATTAGCTGGGCTCTGATTAGATTTGAAGGTTGCCCCAGTTGGAATACAGGCTCCTGGGGACTTGAGGCTTCATTTAGAGTCTAGCTACCAAGAGAAAACTTTCTTTCTGGATCTCTGAGGTCTGTCTAGAGTTAGGATCTTGTTGGTGGAAGGTATGTTGCTGAACTGTTTCTCTGTCTCTGTCTCTATCTCTGTCTCTCTGTCTCTCTCTCTGTCTCTCTCTCTCTCTGTCTCTCTCTCTCTCTGTCTCTCTCTCTCTCTCTCTCCCTCTCTCTCTCTCTCCTTCCCTTCCTTTGCAAATGAGAATTCTTTATCACAATTTTAAAGAATTTGTAGTTTATCTATTTAAGATGGAGAAGTACACATTGGGTATCACTTTGTTGAGCTAAAACAACTTTTTGATTTGTTGGATTGAGTTTTTTCTTAATATTTTCTTGGTAAAAAGCTCAAAGATTTACAAGAGAAAGGATCATATATGATGGGCTGGTGATGAATGCAACAGAGATGATTTCTAAATCTGGGAAAAGAGCGGATCAATTGAAAGGATGTGGGATTGCATTGATGGTTCCAGTTGGACTTGGGATAATATCGGGATTGGAATGGTGCTGACTGAATTAGAATTTGGAAGGTGTAACAAAATGCCTGCTGATTGAATCCCAAAAAGAAACCATCTTTCCAAGTCCCGGGGATCATCACTTGGATGGTCAAAGTTTTAGACCAGCAGAAAGTCAGCACTTTTTTTTTTGTTTTGTTCTACCTTAAGGTGTAAAACAAATTAAAATGAAAAAATAATCATTCATTTATCTATGCATACTGTGAGCAACAATTAATGCACGTCATGATGAGATTTATCCACAGGGACCTGTATTTCTCTTGATAAAAGAATTGGAACAGAGATGCAGTGTAGCTCACCAGTACAGCACACGCCTCCCTGCTATGCACGAGCCCTTGGTTCAATCCCCAGCACCAAAAATAAATGAATAAATTAATTATAAGAAGGAGATTGGAGTGTTTCGCCATTTTCATTTTATAACACAGAATGAGTTCTGTATTCTTATCTTGTGCCTAGAAACATTGCTGAACCAAAATTTCTAGCAGTTTCATTTCTTAATTCAAATAAGTTATTAGGTTTTATGCAGGACTGGGATTTGAACTCAGAGCTTCCTGCTTGCTCAGCAGGCACCCTACTGCTTGAGCCACGCCTCCAACCTGATGATTTAGTTTTAATAAGTAGCTTCTTTTATTAATAATAAAACTTTTTAATAAGTTTTCATAAGTATTCTCATATCAAGAATAATGGAGCCGGGCATGGTGGGACACACCTAATCCCAGCACTCAGGAGGCCAGCCTGGGACACACAGTGAGACCCTGCCTCAAATAACCAAAATACAGAAAAGACTAATTATTATTGAGCACAGATACATGCATGTTTTGTTACTGTTTTTCTGCTTTTTTGTTTTACATAAGTACTCTTTATTCTATTACGGGAACTTTGTCTTTTATTTAAAATCAGTGTACACATACATATACGCATATTAAAGCAATTGAATAGAGGTTATTTTAAGTGTTTTTCTCATGAAATAAATTATCTCTTCTTTTCATGTGTTAAAGTAATGAATTATGTTGTTAGACTTCTAAACAACCCCGATGATTATATATGATGACATGTTGTTCTTTTATTTTTTTCTTGATAATGAATTTTCACTTAAATCTTACTTAACTCAAGCTTTATAAAAGTGAATAAAAGGTGGTACATACTTTTAATGCCAGCACTAGGGATACTGAAGCAAGAGGCTCTCCAGTTCAAGGTCATCCTGGGCTCACAGTGAGACCCCATCCCAAAAAAGAAAAGAAGACAAACCTGCCAATATAATAAAAAATTAGGCTTTCCCTCTAAGTCCTCATGACTTAAGTCCTTCAACACTTAAAAGGATTAATTTAAAAATAAGCAAAGAAAGCAACAACAAAAATCCCTGCAGTGTGTGTGTGTGTATATATATATATATATATATATTTTTTTTTTTTTTTTGTGATACTGGGGTTTGAACTCAGTGCCTCAAGCTTGCTAGACAGGCGCCTTACCACTTGAGCACTGCCAGCTCTGCTTTGTGTTGGGAAATCTGAAGACAGTGTCCTTCTTTTGAACTATATTTTCCAGAGTTGGCCTCAAACTGCACTCCTCCTGATGTCTGCCTCCCGAGTAGCTAGGATTATAGGGATGAGCATCCAAAGCCAGGGTGGTATATAGTTTTTAATACACACATGCATTAATGATGTGATAAGTTTTACTAAAGACTTTTGTAACTTAGCCACTAGATAAACCTAGTGTTTCTTCTCCAGTGTGGCCCTCTTTCGATTTTGGTGTCAAGGTTACATTCACAGTGCCATAAAACAAATTTAACCTGATACCCTAGAAATGACTCAGAAGGTAGGAGTTAGAATCTGTTTACAAAATGATGTGAGTTTTTGTGGGGGGGAGCTTGGGGGTAACTTTTATATATACTAATATAAACTTGAAAAGTTTATATTAGTATATATAAACATAGAATTTTCTTCAATAGTTTGGAAAGGCAGTACTTTTGAGAAAGTTTTCCATTTTTATCTAAGTTTTAAAAAATTATTAGGACCAAATTGCTTATAAAATGTGAGTATAAGTTTTTAAACTTTCCCAAGGTGTTCAGTTATGTGCCCTGTTTTCCACAGTGGAGTGCTTTCGGGCTTTTCTCTTCCTTGATTGTGGCAGCTCACTCCTAACAGCCTTTCTGGTGGATGAGAATTTGGGTTTTGTCATCATTCCATAGCTCTGTATCTTAATCTGCCTTTGCTGTGAATTCATCCAGTTTCTGAGTTGAGTACTTAACCATTTATTTTCAAAAACTTACTTTCCTGTTAGTAATGACCTATTTCTCTTTTCTGTCTGTATTAACATTGCCATTCACATTCTGTTTAGCTTAGAGCTACTGAGTGTTTCTTGACATCCCCTTCTCAATTATTCTGTATTTTCTCTAGGTTTGATGAGTGAAATTCCTTCAGAGACCTTCCTGTGCAGTGGGGTCAGGGACCACTTGTGCGCCTGACATGGGGAGAGGCTCCCAGGGCAGTGACAACTTCAGATGAACCTGGACTGAGCCAGGGTTTGAGGTGGAGCGGCTAACAGCTCTATACCCCTGTGTAAAAAAAAGGTGATCAGAAAGGAATTCTGCCAGTGAATCAGCCAACCTGGGGAAAGATATCATCTCCTGCAAAGGTTCATGTCTCAGCTACTGCTTCACAGATAAACCAAAGCCTTAGAAAGAGGAAAAGGACAGGAAGGAAGGGGGTTGGGGAGGAGAAAGACAGGAAGGAAAGAAGGAACTGCTCCTGAGCTTTCTAGGAATCTAGGAAACACTAATAACTTGGGTGTGTTCTGCTGAGTACCTTGCGGCAGCCATGCCATCTGAGCACTCTGGCACGAAAAACTCCAGTTGTGCCATCATGACTTTCCAGCCAACCCTGGAGGAATTTTCAAATTTTAACAAATACATTGCTTACATGGAGTCTCAAGGCGCCCACAGGGCTGGACTAGCCAAGGTCATTCCACCCAAGGGATGGAGGGCCAGACAGTCCTATGACAATATCAGTGACATGTTAATAGCCACCCCCCTGCAGCAGGTGGTGTCTGGAGGGGCAGGTGTGTTCGCTCAATACTGTAAAAAGAAGAAGGCCATGACAGTAGGGCCCTGGTGTCTGCAGAGCGGGCAGCCCTGCGTTTGAGGGCTCTGAGCCTCACCAGCGAGCCTCCAGCCCCCTGTTTCCACCAAAGCTTCTAGATGTTGTGTGCTCCTGATCTTCAATCTTTGGGGCCAGCACTGGATCCCAACAATCCCATGCATCCTGGACTATGCATACTGTCTCTGGATAGCATAGCGCCCAATATCCTCTTAATTCTTCCACCAACGGCTCCCAATGGCATTGTGCCTTGGAGCAGGTTCACCAGCGACACTGCTGGGGATAGCACAACCCTATGAACCTGCCTTGCCTCGTAGGGATGGACCACTCCTATGCCTCCAGGATCCTGGATTGAGCTGCAGTGGTCACAGCCTCCTCTCCACAGATTGTGAATCTGTGAGACTAAGCCATCACAGAACTGCTCCTTTGACTTCTGAACAAGTTGGCCACCAAAGGATGTTCTTTTATCCTCAGAACCTATGGCCATTGAATATGTCATGAATATGACTGTGCCTCTGACCCCTACCTTAGTCGTATGGTTTGAATATGGTGACTGTCAGGGGACTACTGCAGGAATTTCACCCTGACGTCTTAGGTTGACTTTATTAAGAGGGTGGATACTTTTTGTGTCTATGGCTTGTAAGGGTGGGGGCCCTGGGATGTGATTTGCTCAGAGTAGGTCATTACCCCTGTGATTAAATCCTAGTGGCATTATAAAGGAAGAGAGAAAACTACACAGAAATATGCAGGGAATTCCCCTGTGACATCAGGCTACAAATGGGTACCTTTACGGGAGACTGACCCAGTTCTTCAAACTTGCAGCCTCCAAAACCATGAGCCAAAAGAACCTCTTTTTCATAAAAACTTGCCTCAAGGATATTGTTATAGTGACAAAAGCTGACTGATATACCCAGGAACCATGAAAGGACTCAGCTATTCAAAAATTCTGGCCTGGGCCTCTCCCCAGATGTGACCTCTATGCCAAGAACTGATACATTTCTTAGGATGGGTGATGGTTTCTCCTAGTGATCACTGAAGTGGACGTCCCATCCCATAAAATGCCACATGAGGCTGTGGTACCTCTCAGGGACTCTCATCCCACTCCTGAACACGAACGTGGCTGTAGCCTTACCATGGTCTACCTGCCATGGTCACCCTTTGTTTCCTGTGCCACCCTCGGATTCCTCCCCTGTGGTGCTAAGGGTTCAGCTCCACAGTCATGTGGTCAGCATTGTACGATAGCTGAGTATCTGAGCAGCTTCTTAATTCATCCCAACATTGTGTCTGGGCCTCTGAGTCACTGACCCTGGCTTCTCCTGGACAGTGCTTCAGTCCCAGTGAGTCCTAGCTTATCAAAGTCTCCCAACTGTGACATGTTCTGCCTCCCAAGACACCCCAACTCTGCTCATGTGGAAACCAGACTTTTGACCACTAGACTCTGCCAGTTTTCACTTCAAATGTTTTACAATTTTGTGATACTTAGTAAAGATTTTATTCTGCCAAAGAGGAAAATTCCTTAATCCATACATTCAAACAAGAATTAGATAAAAGGGCTGTGTCTAAAATAAAGTGGTTGAGAAATAAGGTAAAAGAATGGGCAAGGCCATACCAAGGAAAATGCAAGCAAAAACAGAGCAACAGTCACAAACAGTAAATCATGTAAACTAAATTAAGACCAAAGTGCGTAGAACGAGTCTTTGTAAACTCCGGGTAATTTTCACAGTGCAAACATAGCAGTCAGAACCATGCATGAAGCTGGGTAAAATATGAGTTATACTACAGAAAAAAAGCAGTTGAGAGACAGTTTAGAAGAATTTAAGTCACCTCATTTAGTAGAAGACACAAAACGAGAAACATAAAATAAGTTAACATTAAGGATAAAGGAGAATTATGCCTCTGGTGACAGAAAATGCTATATCTTCTCAAGTGCCACTAATTCAGTTTCAAAATTTGACACTATATTAGGGTAAAAATCATAAATATACCCTTAAAACTAAGAAACAAAAAATTAAACATTCTGACTTCCAAAGTAATAAGACTAGAAATACAATTTAAATTAGATAATCTGGAATTCTTTTTTTTTTGGTGGGGTAGGGGTTGGACTGGGATTTGAACTTGGGACTTCATGCTTATAAGTTCTTTTCTGGAGAGTTAAAAAATTCTCTGTTCAATGGGACTTTAGATTAGAAGGAAATAAAGTCAAAAGAACCAAATTCTCAGAAAAAAATAAATTAAATAAGATGTTAAATAAGTTTTAACATCTATGAACTGGATTCAACAGCCTGTTTTGGGAGCTCAACATCTCCCGTCAAGATGAAAGTTACTTATCTCACCTTAACTTGTCCTATGGAACCCAGCTTGCCACACTACTCTAGGTGTCCATTGTGTGGTCAAGCTCCAATTCCCTGAGAAAGTAAAACGTAATCACCCCTGTAGACATGGCAATCCTTCTTTGTAAGGCTCTTCAGGGATGGGAGGAGACAGCAACAAGCACATGAAAATGTCATCTTTAAATTTGTGCAGCCATTGGTGTGAGTCCTGGGGGAACATCTTTGTACACTGGGAGTCACTGGAATAAGAAGCACCTGGCTCTTAGCTCTACAAGTCACTCCCAGGGTTACTAGGACAGTCCCAAGGTCAATAGTTCCAACTCAGAACAGTCACCCTCACATACAGTGCTTGGAGAATGTAAAATAATGACATCTCCTTGAAAAACTGTTTTCCAGTGCCCTGTAACTTAAGCATACACCTATCCTTAGGGATAATACGCCTACATACATATCCAATTTATGATACTCAGGAACTTTGAGTAACTGAGAAGTCTCTGAATAGATGGGTGGAAAGGAATGAACTGCTGGTTCATGGTACAAGATAAATAGATTTCAGGACATTCGGGTTAGGCAAAAGAAGAAGAAGAAGAAGAAGAAAGTAAGAAAAGAAAAGAAAGAAACTGAGATCCTAGTGACAATGTGCTGTTGGATTATATTCATGTTCCTTCTAAAAGTTGGTAAAACCAAGTGTAGTCATAAACTCTAGAAAGTGCTTGTCTCTGCTGGGGTTGGGGACCAATAGGAAAGATCCAGGCATGAAAGACTGATGAGGGGTGCTGGTTCAGCTTACATCTCATTTTGGGAGAAGATTGCATTGTGTATTCATGGTTACTGCTCTCTGAATTCCTAATAGCTACGTGTTTTATTACATGCATTTTATTCTGAAGCAAACTTAACAGAAGACAAGACAATGGCAGATAGAAAGGAGGAACTGTCCTAACGAATCTCAAAAAGCTGAATGATGGGTTGAGAGAGAGAAGGAAATAGAAGGCCCTCTGCAGTAGAGTTCTGAGTAGAAACAGAACCAATAGAATGTATGTATCATTATAAAGGGGAATTATGAAATTGGCTTGCACAATCAGAGGCTCAGATTGGCCTCCAATAGTGATCCTCCTGCCTGAACCTCCTAAGTGCTGGGACTTCAGACATGCCCCACCATGCCTGGCTATAAAACCTTTTCTTATTTCTTGTAAAAAAATCAGGTTTCAGTATTCTTATTTCTGTTTTGTGAGTACTTTATCTTTTCGTATCATTTTATATCTCATGTATTGTCCTTTGCAATATCCTCTTTTGTATGGCTTTGGTTTATTTTTACCAAAAAAGTAGACTTTGAGAAAAGTGGATATAAATTCAAATAAATGTGATTGGGTTTAGTGCTGTTGCCTTTCTACTTTACTTCTTGTGGTCAGGTTTGTGGTCAGTATTATCGGGTCTATCAGGTTTTCAGTTGATACTTATTTTGGACTCTTGCACGGGTAAGCTCTCTTTCTCTCATCCTGCCCCTCCCCTTTTGGTGGTGTGGAGATTGAACTCAGGCCCCAGCGCTTGCCAGGCAGGCCCTCTGACACTTGAGTTGCTCCAATGCCCTTGCATTGTAAGTTTTTAGTTTATTTGTGTTGAAAAGCACTGGGCTGGCAGAGTGGCTCAAGCTCTAAGAGTGCCTGCCTAGCAAGGATGAAGCCATGAGTTCAAACTCCAGTGCTGCCAAAAAAAAAAAAAAAGAAAAGAAAAGAAAATCCCACAGAAAAGCATTTTCAGCTGGCAGAGTGGCCTAAGCTCTTGATCACAATACCCAGGAGGTTGGGCATCTAAGTTTAGGGCAAGTGTGTTCTACACAAGGAGACTGTCTCAAAAACCCACACCAAACCAAACAAAGAAGAAGAAAACATTCTCCCTTGCTCTGTGCTTGGTACAGGTTTACAATCAAGGTTGCTAGGTTTGTTGCATGCTACATTTTTTTCCCCATGCTACATTGTTTTTTGAGATAATGATGTAATTTTTTAAAATCCCCAAACACCCAGGATGGCGGCAGTTTGTCAGTTTTCCCTTCTAACAGTCAGTCTTGGATTTCTGTGCCTTGGTTGAGGTCAGGTGCACAAAACTCATCAGTGTGTGCTCCTGGAAAGGGTTTCTTTTCTACAGCTGTGCAGTGTCTCTCTTTGGTCTTACAGATGTATGTAAGAGTAATATTGTCACACAAGGTTTCCTTTTCAGAGCCTTTAAGTTTCAGCCTCTTGTTGATTTGATTGGATTGTCTTAGAGGGGCGGGGTGGGCGTGGCTGAAACAGGATTTGGAAGCAGAAAGTAAGGATTACCTGGGTGGGGCCTGGACAGGATGGTGAGGCACATAAACCAGTGTCCTGTGGGCCTGGGGCTTTCTGTGCAGTGAGCTGCTGGAGGAACCTTTGTGGAAAATCAAATGACTGTAGCTGCATGGATTCATGTCTGGGGCCTCTATTCTGTTCCACTGGTCTTCGTATCTGTTTTTGTGCCAGTGCCATGCTGTTTTTAAGGGTCTGTAGTGTAGTTTGAAGTGAGGTATTGTGATAACCTCCAGTGTTGTTCATTGCTCTGGATGACTTTGGCTATTTGAGGTCTTTTGCGTTTCCACATGAACTTCAGGATGGACTTTTCTACCTCTGTGAGGTATGTCACTGGAACTTTGATAGGGAATGCAAAGAGCATACAGATTGCTTTCAGTCATGTAGCCATTTTAGCAATCTTCCTTCTGTGGATCCATGGGCATGGGATGCCCTTCCACATTTTACTCTTTATTGAGTTCTTTCTTCAATGAGTCATACATAGGCCGTTTGTTTTATAGGTCATTCACTTCCTTTGTCAAATTTATTCCTAGGTATTTCAATTTTAGGGGCGGGGCAAGGTTAGTGTTATGGGTGGTTTTTTTATGCTATTGACAATGATATTGCTTTTGTGATTTCTTTCTCCAATTATTCACTGTTGATGTATAGAAATTCTACCAATTTTTGTTAATTGATGGTATGTCCTGCTACAGTGCTGAATGAGTTTTTTGGTATAGTTTTTGGGATCTTTTGTATATAAGGTCATATTGTATTCGAATAGAACAATTTGCGTTCTTCTGTCCTTAGTTGAATCCATTATATTTCTTTCTCCTGTGTTATTGCTCTGGCTAGGAATTCCAGTACTCTATTGAATAAGAGAGGAGAGTTTGAACACCCTTATCTCTGTCCTGACTTTACAGGAAATAGTTTTCCACCATATACATTGGTGATGGCTATTGGTTTGCAACAGCCTTTATAATGTCAAGGAGTGCTCCATCTTTTCCTAGTTTCTTCAGAGCGTTTATCATGAAAGGATGTTGAATTTTTGTCACAGCCTTTTTCATCATCTATTGAGAAGAATAACCTGGTTTTCGTGTTGTATTAAGTTTATTGATTTGCATCTGTTGTACCAATCTCCATGCCTGGGATGAAACTTACTTAATCATGGTTTATAGCCCTTTTAGTGTGTTGTTGGATTCAGTTAATAAGCATTTTATTGAGAATTTTCCATGTAAGTGCACCAGGGATATTAGCCATATGAACGTTCATTTTTTGGATGGGTCTTCACCTGGCTTTGGTATTGGGATAATAGTAGCTTGGTAGAATAAATTTGGTAGTATCCCTTTCTTTTGTATTTTATTGAATATTTGAGGTGCATTGGTGTTCTTCTTTAAGAATTTAGCAGTGAATCCATCTGATCTAGGCTTTTCTCTGTTGGGAGGTTCTTTATAACTATCTCAATCCTATAGCTTAAGGGTTTCCTTTTTTATTGTTTATACATTTATTCATATGTGTATACATTGTTTGGGCCACCTCTGCCCCCTTCTCCCCCTAACTGACTCCCCTTCAGCCCTCTAGCTTCCAGGCAGAATCTGTTCTGCCCTTGTCTCCAATTTTGTTGAAGAGAAAACATAAGAGGTAATAGGAAAGACACAGCATTGTTGCTAGCTTGAGTTAAAGATGTATATACAGAGAGATTCCTATTGTTGCTTCCATGCACCTGTATATTACAACCCACATTGGTTCATCTCTACCAGACCTCTTCACTACTTCCTGGTCACCTTTCCATAGTGACCTCGGCCAGTTTAAGATTACTTCATTTGCTCCTCTCCAGTGGACACATGAAACACTTTCGAGTTTTAGGTTTCCTATCTTTCCCTATTCCTCCTGTACATGTTCTCCCCTTAGCATGCGACCATGTCCAATAATATCACTGCATTTGTTTTAGGTCTAAAGTCTGCATATGAGGGAGAACATGTGATTTTTGGCCTTCTCGCCTGGCTAACTTCACTTAAGATGATTGTTCTCCAGTTCCATCCATTTACTTGTGAATGACAAAATTTCATTCTGCTTTGTGGCTGAGTAAAATTCCATTGTGTATAAATGCCACATTTTCTTAATGCATTCATCGGTAGCAGGGCATCTTGGCTGTTTTCACAGCTTGGTTATTGTGAATAGCCCTGCAATAAACATGGGTGTGCAGGTGCCTTTGGAATAACCTAAGACACATTCCTTTGGGTATATCCCTAGGAGTGGGATTGCTGGATCATATGGCAGAGCTATGTTTAGTTTTTTGAGAAGCCTCCATGTTGTTTTCCAAAGTGATTATACTAGCTTACATTCCTACCAGCAGTGTATGAGGGTTCCTTTTTCCCCACATCCTTGCCAATGTTTGGTAGTGATTTTGATGATGGCTGTTCTAACAGGGGTGAGGTTGAATCTTACTGTAGTTTTGATTTGCATTTCCTTTATGGCCAGGGATGGTTAGCATTTTTCATGTGTTTTTTGGCCATTTGAATTTCTTCTTTTGAGAAAGTTCTGTTTAGTTCAGTTGCCCATTTCTTGATTGGTTCATTGATTTTGGGAGAGTTTAGTTTTTTGAGTTCCATGTATATTCTGGTGTCAGTCCTTTGTCTGATGTATAGCTGGCAAATATTTTCTCCCATGATGTGGGTGGTCTCTGCAGTTTAGAGACCATTTCTTTTGTTGTATAGAAGCTTTTTAATGTCATGTAGTCCCATTTGTCCATCCTTTCTCTTAGTTGCTGGGCTGCTGGAGTTCTACTGAGGAATTCTTTTCCTATACCTATTGTTTCCAGAGTATTCCCTGCTCTTTCCTGTAGTAACTTCAGAGTTTCAGATCTGATATTAAGGTTCTTGATCCATTTTGAGTTGATAGTACTACAGAGTGACAGGCATGGATCTAGTTTCAGTTTTCTGTGGGCAGCTAACCACTTTTTCAGTTTTCTGTGGGCAGCTAACCACTTTTCTGAGCAACATTTGTTGAAGAGGCTGTCTATTCTCCATCGTATGTTTTTGGTACCTTTGTCAAAAATAAGGTGGGCATAGCTGTGTGGATTCATATCCAGGTCCTCTATTCTGTTCCACTGGTCTTCGTGTCTGTTTTTGTGCCAGTACCATGCTGTTTTTATTGCTATTGTTTTGTAATATAGTTTGGAGTTGGGTATTGTGGTACCTCCAGCATTGCTCTTTTTGCTGAGTATTGCTTTAGCTATTTGCACTGTTTTGTGTTTCCACACAAACTTTAGGGCAGATTTTTCTATCTCTGTGATAAATGTCATTGGGATTTTGATGGGAATTGCATTGAACATGTAGATTACTTTTGGTAGTATAGCCATTTTTACTATGTTGATTCTACCAATCCATGAGCATAGGAGATCTTTCCACCTTCTGTAGTCTTCCTCAATCTCTTCAGTGGTTTGTAGTTTTCCTTGTAGAGGTCATTTACGTCCTTTGTTAAGTTTACTCCTAGGTATTTGATTTTTTTTGAGGCTATTGTAAATGGAATTGCTTTCCTATACGCTTTCTCAATTTGTACATTGTTGGTGTATAGAAAGGGTACTGATTTTTGTAAGTTGCTTTTGTATCCTGCTACTTAGCTGAAGCTGTTTATGGTGTCTAGGACTTTTTGGGTAGAGTTTTTTGGGTCTTTGAGGTACAGGATCATGTCATCTGCAAAGGGTTTTCTTATGTTGTTTATTTTGTTTTTGGTACTGAAGTTTGAACTCAAGACTTCATGTTTGCTAGGTGGGTGCTCTACCACTTGAGAAGCTCAATCAGCCCTTGCTACTTACTTCCTGATACTAACATGTGCACCAATTTTTTTTGGTACTGGGGTTTGAATTCAGGGCCTACACCTTGAGCCACTTCACCAGTCTTTTTATGTGATGGATTTTCTCAAGACAGGGTCTCTCAAACTGTTTGTCCAGGCTGGCTTTGAACTGCAATCCTGCTGATCTCTGCCTCCTCAGTGGTTAGTATGACACCATGAGCCACCAGCACCTTTATTGCACAACAATCTTGTTTAACATATAGCCACTGGAGCATTCCTTTGACGTCCATTTGCTTTCTAATACTCCATTCTTTGTTGTTTTTTAGACTGACTGACGTCCTCGAAGAGATATTCTGGTACAGAGGGGGTCAGGGGCTGTGCGTCCATGCAAGCCTGAGACAGAAAGGCCCTAGCAAAAACTCACTGCGCTGCACTCAGTGCACTGGGAGATACTCATTGTCAAAAAATGCTGACCAGTGTGGACTCACCTTGGTAAATAAGCAAGCCTAGGAAAGATCCTATTATCATTTGTTTAAAAATTCAAGCCAGCCTTGGTATTAAAACATTAAAAAAAAAAAGAGGAATTTTCAAATTTTAACAAATACATTGCTTACATGGAGTCTCAAGGCCACCGAGCTGGACTAGCCAAGGTCATTCCACCCAAGGGATGGAGGGCCAGACAGTCCTATGACAATATCAGTGACATGTTAATAGCCACCCCCCTGCAGCAGGTGGTGTCTGGAGGGGCAGGTGTGTTCACTCAATACCATAAAAAGAAGAAGGCCATGACAGTAGGGCAGTACCGCCACCTGGCAAACAGTGAAAAGCATCGCACTCCAGCACACCTGAATTATGAAGATTTGGAGAGAAAGTACTGGAAGAATCGCCTCTATGATTCACCAATTTATGGTGCTGACGTCAACGGGTCTTTATTTGATGAAAGCACTAGAGAGTGGAACCTTGGGCACCTGGGGACCATTCAGGACCTGCTGGAGCAGGAATGTGGTGTCGTCATCGAGGGGGTCAACACACCTTACCTGTACTTTGGCATGTGGAAGACCACCTTCGCGTGGCACACGGAGGACATGGACCTGTACAGCATCAACTATGTGCACTTTGGGGAGCCCAAGACCTGGTACGCGGTGCCCCCCGAGCACGGGCAGCGCCTGGAGCGCCTGGCCAGGGAGCTGTTCCCGGGCAGCGCCCAGATCTGCGAGGCCTTCCTGCGGCACAAGGTGGCCCTCATCTCTCCCACGGTGCTCAGGGAGAATGGCGTCCCCTTCAGCCGCGCGACGCAGGAGGCCGGAGAGTTCGTGGTGACTTTTCCCTATGGCTACCACGCTGGCTTCAACCATGGCTTCAACTGCGCCGAGGCCATCAACTTCGCCACCCCGCGCTGGATCGATTATGGCAAAGTGGCCTCTCAGTGCAGCTGCGGGGAGGCCAGGGTCAGCTTCTCCATGGACGCGTTCGTGCGCATCCTGCAGCCCGAGCGCTATGAGCTGTGGAGACGCGGGCAGGACCGAATGGGGCAGGAACTGAATAGAGGGCAGAATCGGGCCAGGAGAGCCCAGCAGAGGGCAGGACCTGGCTAGGCAGGAGCATAGCAGGGGTAGAGACCTGTCCAGGCAGCGCTGTGCAGGGAACAGGACTTGGCCAAGGGGGAGTTGATCAGGGGGCAAGACATAGCCACGCAGGAACTGAGCAGTGGGAAAGACCTGGCCAGGGCAGAGGTGTGCTTTGGGTGGGACCTGACCAGGTGGCTGGGCCAGGAAAGGTGGCAACTGAGCAGGGGATATGAACTGGCTAGTGAGGAGCTCAGCAGCGTGCAGGAACAGGCCAGGCAGGATCTGAGCAAAGGGCAGCACATGGCCTGGAGGTTGCAGAATCTGGGTAGGCAGGAGCTGAACATGGGGCAGGACCAGGCCAGAAGGAAGCTGAACAGAGCATTGGAAAAAGCCAGGAGGGAGCTGAGCAGGGGACAGGACCCTGCAAGGGAGGAGCTGAAGAAAGGACTGGACCAGGCCAGGTGTAACCTGAGCAGGGGGTTGGACAGGGCCAGGGAGGAGCTCAGCAGGGGGATAGACAGGGCCAAGCAGGAGATGAGCAGGGGGCTGGACCAAGCTAGGCATGAGCTACTCAGAAGCCTGAACCAAACAAGGCAGAAGATGCCTGGGATGGAGCTCCAGAAACCTGACACTCCAGAGCCTAGCCTGAGGCTCCTCACTGTCATCCCAAGCAGGCAATCCTCTGGGTCTGAGGTAGAGGGTAGTGGGACCCTGTGTGCTTGCCCTGTGCACCAGCCACCTCTGGGCTCCTCTGTAGCCTTCAGAGTTGCTCCCCAGTCTAGGGCTGCTGTTGCTGGGAGTTCCCAGATGCCCTTGGAGGCTCCCCCTGCCACGTTGATGGTGGCTGGCCTGGAGCTCAGGCTGTTTCCTGGCAGCCATGATCTTGGTCGTGGTCGTCAGAAATTTAAGCATGAGGAGCCCACCCTGCAGCCCACAGCCAAAAGGCACCCCTCCGGGGATTTGGCACTTGCTCCTCCTGATCCCAAGCTCAGTCCCTAACTAGTGGCCAAGGTTTGCTGTTATGTGAGCGCTGATTGCTGCATGGGGTGAGGGTTCCCTGTGCTGCTGTGCCCCGGCTTCACCCCGGGGCCACCTGCAGGAACACTCAGATGTGTACTTGGTGGTGCTTGCCTTCCATAGACAGCAGTACACTGAGTGTCCATGACAGTGTCCTGCTGACTCTCCCCAGTGTCACTGTGCCTTTTAGAATATTCTCCAGGGTGGTGGGGACAATGACAAGGACACTGTGAACCTGACCAAGGTGGCAGCATTGGATCACATTGCTGCAGGTTGCTGGTCCAAACTGAAAGTACTAAGGTCTCTCCCCCGCCAACCCGTCTGATACCTGGGATCAAAACTAGATGCATCCAGGCACAGGTGGCTCACACCTATAATCCTAGCTACTTGGGAGACTGAGATTGGGAGGACTGAAGTTCAAAGCCAGCCTGGGCCAATAGTTAGCGTGACCCCATCTCCAGAATAACTAGAGCAAAATGGACTGGAGGTGTGTTTCAAGTGGTACAGGGCCTGCTTTGCAAAGGGCAAGCTCTGAGTTCAGACCCCAGTCCCACCTAAATAAATAAATGCACCCAGATGGAGCTGTACCTCTGAATTTTGTGATATTTGTCACCAATAAATATTTGTGAGGCTCTGAGTAATAGATTTTGAGTATGTTTCCAAGTGTGACTGTGTCTCTGATCTCAGCCCCAGAACCATGTGGGTTCCTAGCTGAGTTCATTTCTGGCCTGGGCCTCTCCCCCGTGGAGAGAGACCCTTCGTCCTTGAGAACTGGCACATTTATGAGGATGCCTGATGCTTTCTTCTATGACAACCATACTCCCAGAGAATACTGAAGTGGACTTCCTACCCCACAGGATGTCACATGAGGCTGTGGTACCTCTCAGGGACTCTCATCCCACTCCTGAACACGAACGTGCCTGTGGGCCTTACCATGGTCTACCTGCCATGGTCACCCCTTGCCACCTTTGGATCCCTCCCCTGTGGCGCTAAGGGTTCAGCTCCACCGTTATGTGGCCAGCATTTCATTGAAGGGGGAAAGGGCTGGAGCACTGAGCTTCTGGTAGCCGCTGAATCCTGGGAGGTGGGGAAGGGGCAGCTGCAGAGCTGCGGAGCACCAAGCATGCTAGACCCCAAAAGCCTGGCCCTGCGATGGTAGTGGGGGGTCCTCGCTGGAAAACTTCCCAGCAGGCCACCTCGGGCCTCCATGTGTGCGGGAGCAGGCTCATGTGTGGCCTCGTGCATGCACATGGTCAACGCGAAAAGACAATCAACAGGAGCTGCCCCTCCCAGCTATGCGGAAAAGAAGTGTCGGGGGGACCCGAGGGGGGATTACCGGTTTTCAGGTCCCCCTTCTCACTGCGGAAGCCTTTTTTTCTGCGTCTCTGACTTTGACTTTGTTACTTGTCTCAATACATTTGGTTTCAATAAACCGTGCTTTGCCTTTGCTCTCTACTTTGCTTTATTTCCCGGCCCACTGGGCAGAAGAAAAGCACCTTCCTCAGACCCTTCGACGGTATCAGCGTGATGCTGACAATCTAAGTAGCTTCTTAATTCAACCCCCTTGCATCTGGTCTGCTACCCTGGCCTCTCAGTCGTCACAATCAAGTCACGTGACTGAGATGCCCTGCCTCCCCAGCCACCAACCACTGTTCACGTGGGAAGGAGACCTTTTGACCAGTTGTCTGGCAGCAGATCTGAACTCGGGTGGTGAGGTGCGTCTGCTTTTACAGTACTTAGTTTTTGTGTGGCAGTGTTTTCATACACACACTTCTCTCACAATTTCAGCCGTCTACAACACACCTGGACACAGGTTTGGTAGTCATTAATTCAAAGCCACATCATCTATGAAATGTGGTGTCACGTTGTCTGGCCATGAGAAACATTTGCATTTTCACAAATATGATTCTGCAGGACCCCAAGGCACACATGAGGAGCCTAAGAAACGGTGGCTATGGCCTTTCTGACCAGCTAGCCCTCGGATAGGCGAGTACTGCCACTTTCAGCGGGGGAAGTGTCAGGTGCAGTCACAGCTGGAGTTGGGAGATTCGGAGGGAATATATGTGAAGAATTGTTTGTAATATGACCAAAATATAGCATTATAATCAATAGTCTGTTCTATAATAAAACCTTTGAAACCAGGAATCAATGTTGGCCCTTTGGAGCAGGAATGTGGAGATGGCACTGAGATGACCCCTACCTGCAATCTGGGAGGTGGACATTGCCTTTAGTGGGACCTTCACGCCATCAGCAGGAGGAGGACACAGAAGCACGGCATGGCCTGGTGTACATTTTCCAGTGACCCACCACTGTGGGGCTGATGAAGAACTGTTGCAGGAGGGCTGGATGGGGGCTATGAGAGCCCTGCAGTAACCTGGGGACCTGAGAGTCCCTCGGTGTCCAGGGATGGCAGCAGACACTGACTGGAGCAGACAGATTTGGGAGTGTGTTGGTGGAGATCCAGAGAGACAAGTTAATGGGTTAGGAGCAGAGGAGTGAATGAAAGGAGAGAAAGAAGCATCACTCCTTAATCACTGGCCTGAGATGTCGCGTGGATGATAGTGCTCTTTACTGAGACAGGGAACAGTAAGGGAGGTGGAAATTGCAGAAGGAGAAAAGTTTCTAGAACTCTCAGAGCAAGCTAAGCAGTTCATTGGACAGCAGGCAACCTTCATGTGCTACTAACTTAAACGAGAGTGTTCTGTGTTCACCTGTGAGGTGCCAGGGCTTGATAAACTTATTATTTTATCTATTGTTTTAGGAAAACCCCTTCTATTCCTAGATTTCAAGACTTTTTTCCAAGGGGGTGAGTGACTTTTTCTCTCCAATAATGCCAAAAAAAAAATGCATCCTTTCCTTGCTTTTTTGTTTTTATTTGACACTTTTGTCATCTTCATTTGTATTTCTAAAAGTATTGCTTGATTTTTATTGCTTATTGTTTTTTCTTTTGAGACAGGGTTTCCCTTTGTATGTAATCCAGGCTGGCCTTGAGCTTTCAATCCTCCTGCCTCAGCCTCACCAGTGCTGGGATTATAGGTGTGCACCACCAAGTTTAGACATTTTAATTGTTTTTGAGTTTTATGAAAATGGAATCATTTTATAAGTGTTTTGTGTGTTCTGATTCTTTTGCTCACTCTTTTGCTTTTATTATTCTCTGTATTGTTAAATATGGCTGAGGATTTTTCCTTTTGTTGATGCTATATAGTATTTGTGTGTGGAGGCACTGGGGTTTGAACTCAGTGCTTTATGTCTGCAAAGTAGGCGCTCTACTGCTTGAGCCACGCTTCCAGTCCATTTTACTCTACTTGTTTTGGAGATGGAAGTCTGAACTATTTGCCCTGACCTCCCAATCTCAGCCTCCCAAGTAGTTAGGATGACAGGTGGTAACCACCGGCACACACTCTGTCGAGTATTTTACTTAAGAAAAAATCATTATTAAATTTCTACTGTTCTGTTGATGGACGTCTGAGTTGTTTGCAGGTTGAGCTATTTTGAATAAGGAAGCTATGAGTATTTGCAGATTTACACTCTGATGTACATGTGTGCACACATTTCATGTATCAACCCATGAGTGCAATTGCTTGGTTGAGATCAGGACATTTGATTTTTTTTTTTTTTGAGGTTCTGATATTTGAACTCAGGGACTTGCACTTGCTAGGCAGGCACTCTAACATTTGAGCCATGCTTCCAGCCCAGGACATATTCAGTTTTAGTCGATAATTTCCAACTACTTTCCAAAATAGTTATAGCAATATAGACTCTCATCAACAATGGATGAGAGTCCCAGCTGCTAACAGTTTCAAGGTCACACTCCATCCTCTGGTTCTTACTTATCTGTATGATTTAGTTCCCTGAGCGATACACTTTCCTGCTCAATGACTGGCCTTTTCATCTACTCTATGACATCTTTGACCAGTTATCTGATGAGTTTGACGTGTCACTCTAATGTAGTTACATTTACCAAAACTTTTTGTGATTAGTTTTTTTATGTGTCCTGTTCCCTACCCCAA